AGTAACAGATGGAAATATGTAAGAACTAAAACCACAGCACTAGTCTTCCATTTTTGCTAAGTGGGTTGCAGTGCAAGAGGCTGGGTCTTCCGTCTCCCTCACTGAAAGGGAGAAAACTCCACTAACTCTTCATGCTTGGGTCCAAAATTCCACTAAAAGAAGGAACCCATAAGACACGCAGATGACATCTTGCCCTTAAAACCCATTTAAAACCCAAGTGAACGGAAATTGAATCTGCAATTCATCCAACCCCAATTCAGCTCCACTCTTTTTTTTTTTTTTTTTTTTTTTTTTTAAAGACAGAGTCTCACTCTGTCACCCAGGCTGGAGTTCAATGGCCAGATCTTGGCCCACTGCAACCTCTGTCTCCCCGGTTCAAGTGATTCTCCTGCCTCAGCCCACCGAGTTTCTGGGATTACATGCACGTGCCACCATGCCCAGCTAAATTTTGTATTTTTAGTAGAAATGGGGTTTCACCATGTTGGCCAGGGTGGTCCTGAGCTCCTGACCTTGTGACACACCCATCTCGACCTCCCAAAGTGCTGGGATTACAGGTGTGAGCCACTGAGCCTGGCCTCAGCTCCACTCTTGATTGAGTCTGACTGATCAGCTCCTCATCTAGTTGACTGGCAAGAGGAAAAGGTTTGCCCTTTCTAGGGAAAAAAAATATTTACTTTAGTCACTTTGGTTCTTACAGGCATGAGCCACCATGCCCAGCCACTACACCTAATTTTTACTGACTTCTGGAAAGAACTCATCAGCTGTTGCGAGAAGTGAAAAAGTAGCCAACAAGATTTACTTCCGCCTTCAATCCAAGTCCTTCAATGCTCCTCCAGGCAACCCCACCCAATGACAGAACACAGCAGAGATAGGAGGGCCTAACCATTTCCGACCAATGCAGGACTGTTCCGAAGAGCAATCTTTGCTCCAGGGCTTCTGTTAGGTTGGCCAAGATGTTGTGAGATCTGCAGCACAGTCTGGGCTCTCCCTGCTCAATCCTGCTTCTTCTCCAATAAACCTCTTAACTCTGGCTCAGCATCTCCTCTGGGAAGAACCAATAGACACACATGGCTTTAGAACTCAGCCTTTGGGCCAGCCACCCAAAAAGCCTGTAATCCCAGCACTTTGGGAGGCCAAGGCAGATGGATGCCTTGAGGTCAGGAGTTCCAGACCAGCGTGGCCAATGTAGTAAAACCCCATCTCTACTAAAAATACAAAAATGAGGTGGGTGTGGTGGTGCACGCCTTTAATCCCAGCTACTCAGGAGGCTCAGGGATGAGAATCCAAGAGGATTGAACCCAAGAGGTGTAGGTTGCAATGAGCGGAGATCACGCCACTGTACTCCAGCCTGGGCGATACAGCAAGACCCTGTCTCAGAAAGAAAAAAAAAAAAAACCTACGTAAGATGTGTCTCCTCCAATGTGTGTAAGATGACTGACCCAATACCAGGTACAAAGTAGATTTCCAGTTGGTGTTAGGTATCTTTTCTTTTTTTTAAGACAGGTTTTCACCATGTTGGCCAGGCTGATCTTGAACTCCTGACCTCAGGTGATCCACCCGCCTCAGCCTCCCAAAGTGCTGAGATTACAGGTGTGAGCCACCATGCCCAGCCGATGTTAGGTATCTCTGCCTTTTGCATCATTTAGGATACATGTTTGCTGGTCAGGAGAGACTCAAAATAACACTGCCACAAATAGAATAGCTGACAGTCCAAAACGTAAGGTGGCTTCACAGTGTCACAAAATTCCCGGCCTTCTAGCTGATCCTGTAAATAGATAATCCTGGACCCTCTAGACCAGACAAACTGCCCCCAATGATTCCAGTTGAGGCTACATAGAACTGAATTGCTTAGCCAAGCCTGATTCATGAAATTGAGAGGTATTATAAGATGGTAATTGTTGTAAGTCACTGAATTTGGGGGTGGTTCCTTACACATAAAAGGATAAACAGAGCACACCTCCTAACTAATACAGAGAGAAAAACTTACCTTAAAATTTTATATCTAATACCATGGTACTAAAGCATTTCAAAATTACTACTTTCCTGCTTTATTTTCATATGCTGTTTGTTTGTTTCCTTCCTTTTAATTAAGACTTTATATTCACACAACTCTATGTTTAGCTTTTTTTTTTTTTTTTTTTTTGAGACAGAGTTTCGCTCTTGTTACCCAGGCTGGAGTGCAATGGCGCGATCTCGGCTCACCGCAACCTCCACCTCCTGGGTTCAGGCAATTCTCCTGCCTCAGCCTCCTGAGTAGCTGGGATTACAGGCATGTGCCACCATGCCCTGCTAATTTTTTGTAGTTTTAGTAGAGACGGGGTTTCACCATGTTGACCAGGATGGTCTCGATCTCTTGACCTCGTGATCTACCTGCCTCAGCCTCCCAAAGTGCTGGGATTACAGGCTTGAGCCACTGCGCCCGGCCAAAATTAAAAACTTTTGTGCTTCAAAGGACGCTATCAAGAAAGTAAAAAACAACCAACCCACCAAATGAGAGAGACAATTTGCAAATTATAGATCTGATTAGGGACTTGTATCCAGAACATATAAAAGAACTCTTTCGACACAACAATAAAAAGACAAATTGCCCAATTTAAAAGTGGGTAGCCGGGTATGGAGCTCTTGCCCATAATTCTAGCACTCTGGGAGGTCAAGGTGAGAGGATCACTTCAGTCCAGGAGTTTCAGACCAGCCTGGGCAACATGGCAAAACCCTGTCTCTACAAAAAATACAAAAATTATCTGGGCATGGTGGTGTGCACTTGTGGTCTCAGCCACCTGGGAGGCTGAGGTGGAGGACTGCTTGAGACTAGGAAGGCTGCAGCAAGCCATGACAGGGCCACTGCACTCTGGCCTGGATGACAGAGTGATACCGTGTCTCAAAAAGATAGACAACAATAGGTGTTGGTGAGGATGTGGAGAAAATTGGAACCCTCATACAATTGCCAGTGGAAATGCAAAACAGTGTAGCTGCTTTGGAAAATAGTTCCACAGTTCCTCAAAAAGTTAAACTTCAAGTTACCATATGGTTCAATTACTTCATTCCTAGGAGAACTGGTAACACATGTTCCCACAGAAACTGGCTCACAGAGGTATTCATGGATATTTATAGTAGAAGTGAAAACAACCCAAACGTTCATCAACTGATAAACAAAATATGGTATGTCCATACAAAGGGATATTATTTAGCCTTGAAAGAATTGCAGGGCGTGATAGCTCTTGCCTGTAATCTTAGCACTTTGGGGGCCAAGGTGGGTGGATCACTTGAGGCCAGGAGATCGAGACCAGCCTGGCCAACATGGCAAAATCCCATCTCTACTAAAAATACAAAAAAATTAGGCGTGGTGATACGCACCTGTAATCCCAGCTACTCGGGAGGCTGAGGCAGGAAAATCGCTTGAACCCAGGAGGCAGAGGTTGCAGTATGCCAAGATGGCACTACTGCACTCCAGGCCAAGTTACGGAGACTGTCTCAAAAAAACAAAAACAAAGAATTCAACTTCCTCTTAGGACCTTGTACTGAAACAGGGATTTCCAAATCTTTCTTTGTAGCCACTGTGCACCAGCCCCATCAGAGCTCTCTCTCCTACGTCCCTCTCTTAAGATGCCAGGCTTCTTGCCATTTGCTCTCTCAGCTCACCGCCATTCTGGCTGTGCTCTACCTTCATCCTGCTGTTTATTCATTCAGCAAATATTAACTGAGCAGCTGCCCTGAGCCAGGTGCTGTACCAGGCCCTGATGATACACCAGTGACCAAAACAACATCCCTATCTCAAAATGTTTACATTCTAATGAAGGAGACAGACACATACAAATAAGTAAACAGACATACTTGAGAGAGATACATGCTATGAAGAAAATGCAAGCTGAGTTAAGGGGATGTAGAGTGACGTGGGTGGTGCTATTTTAAACAAGGTTGTCGGGGACGTCATCTCTGGAGGTGATATTTGAGCAGAGGTTGCAATAAAGTGTTCAAATACTGGTTGAATTAGACGTGACGACCGGAACAGAACGAGAAGCAAAATCATGCATGTCCTTTGAGGCAAAGTCTGGTTTGCTCTCTGTGTAACATGGGATCAGTAGAGTGAGTAGAGGAAGGACATGATCTGACTTAGATTTTAACAAGTTCTCTCTGGCTGCTGTGTTGAGAATAAAGTATTGAGGGCAAGGGTTGACACAGAGGCAACTTTTAGAAGGCTACTGCAATAATTTAGCCAGAGTAATCGCGGCTTGTCGTACAGCTGCAGGGATGGAGATGAGGAGAAGGGGTCAGATTTAGGATATATTCTGTAGACATAACAGAGGTGTAGTCAGAACAGATGTGGAGGCAAGACAGAGGTCAAGGCTGACTCAAGGCTTTTAGTCTGAGCAGCTGAGTAAAAATGGTACCTGTTATCAATGGGGAACGGTGGTGAAGGAGCAGGTTAGAGGAGAAACAGGGAGCATGGCTTTGGACCCTTAACGTTTGAGATACCAATTCCACAGAAATCGGAGTTCACGGAATTGATCCAAGTTACAGACTGATACTTGGGATTGGTGAGTTGCAATGGCGCTGAAAAACTGGGTCCTTTTGAGAGCCCCAGCTCCAGGAGCAACCTCCGGGGAAAGTTCCTGGGCGATGGCTGCGGTAATGGAGCCGTGGGAGCTCCACGAGGTGCAGGTTCAGCGTCTTAAAAGGATGAGCAGCGACTCGCCAAAGCTCGGAGGCGGCGGGGCAGCGCTCCAGGCGGAGGGCCTCGCGTCGGCAAAGACACGGGACCCCACGACAAAGAGGCCGCGGCCTGGGTCAGAAGGAGGGCCGCGCGCCTCCTCTCCAGCCCTCAGCGAGCGGGTGCCACGAGGCACTCAGCTAATCCCCGAAATTCCTCTCACGCGGCCCCGGGACCACCGTCGTAGCCCAGGTAAATAGGCGCTGACAGGACTCACGAGGCCGCGAAGTAGTCGGGAACCACCCGCCGCCGGCCAAGTCTCGCGAGGGCGCGGCCTCGCCCTCCCAGCATGCCCCGCGCTGCCGCCGCGGCCGCCGCGGCCGCCGCCGCGCCGCGGCTTGAGGGCGGGAGGCTGGGGGAGGGTAGCGGAGCCGGCACCGCCGCCATGTTGGGTCTGAAGCGGCTGCTGTAGGCGCCGACGGAGCGAGCAGGCGTGCGGAGCGGGCGACAGCGGCGTGGGATCTGCCTCTCTGCGAGCGGCCCGGGGCGGCGGCGGCGGCGCCATGAGCGGGGGCACCCCTTACATCGGCAGCAAGATCAGCCTCATTTCCAAGGCGGAGATCCGCTACGAGGGCATCCTCTACACCATCGACACCGAAAACTCCACCGTAGCCCTCGCCAAAGGTACGTGAGACCCGGCCTCGGGGTGGGGGCCGGGCCGGGCGCCGCTCAGGGCTGCTCCCCGCTCCGGCCCTCAGCCTCCTCGCTCCTTCCCCTCCCTCCGTGGAGCTCCGGGAGGCCGCTCCCCTCCCTTCTCTGGGGCCTGGCTTTGCGGGCCGGACCGCGGCCTCCCCGCGTTTCCCTGGCTTCCGCCCCCCAGGAGGGTCCGCGCCTGAAGCCCGGGGAACTACGGGACTGAGTGCGCGGCGGGCGGGCGAGCGGCCCTGAAGTCCGACAACGGGCGGGAGAACACGGAGAAACGCGTCTTCCAACTCCGAAATTCGGGGGTTCTGTCGTCTTAGCGCAAAACAAAGCCCGAGTATTCAAAGAATTTTTCCGCCCAGCTTGAGTTCATTGTGGATGCGTTGACTCCACAGCACCCATTTTCTCACTTTGCTCATTTCTATTCGTGGCGATCTTCCTCAGGTGAACTCTGAGTAATGTGCTAAAACTTTGGGTTTGCTCTGCGACGCAGACATTCTCGAAATGCCATCGGTGCCGTGGAGCAAATCCCATCTCCCTCGGCTCATCCTCTGTTGGCATTTACCTGTTAAACCGGAATTCTCAAAGCCTGTTGTGCAACCATCTTCATTAGAGCGCGCGGTAAAAATGCTTGCTGCTGCCCCGACGCCCCCTGCTTCTGGAAACGAGTTCAGGCTTGATCCGGGACCCTTCTTGATCCAGGCAAGCTTGACCTTTGATCCAGGCTCAGTGGGCATTGACTGAAGGCTCGCTGGGAAGGGGTCTGTCGAGAAGGAAGGTGCCCCTACCCATAGTATTAATATTTGGCATCGCTAGAGTCTGTGTGGGTTTTGTTTCCGTTCACACGTGCAGGGCCTTTGCTCCTCCAGGAAACCAGAAAGAAAATAAACTTTAGCTCCCGAATCTTAAAGGAAATCTCACAACAGTATAAAATAACTTCGGGGGAAGCTAGATAACCTGGGTGATTTTCCCAGCACTTCTGGTAGAAGTGGGAACTGCATAGCATGCTTAGGGATCCTCTAGATAGGTTATAGGTACAAGGATAAGGAAGATTTTCGTAATCTGTAAAAATTTTTTTTTTTTTTTTTTTTTTTTTGAGACGGAGTTTCACTCATGTTACCCAGGCTGGAGTGCAATGGTGCGATCTCGGCTCACCGCAACCTCTGCTTCCTGGGTTCAGGCAATTCTCCTGCCTCAGCCTCCTGAGTAGCTGGGATTACAGGCACGCGCCACCATGCCCAGCTAATGTTTTTTGTATTTTTAGTAGAGACGGGGTTTCACCATGTTGACCAGGATGGTCTCGATCTCTTGACCTCGTGATCCACCCGCCTCGGCCTCCCAAAGTGCTGGGATTACAGGCTTGAGACACCGCGCCCGGCCTGCAAAATTTTTTAAATCGTTAACTGATAGGGGAGTGGTTTCACGGAATCAAGTATTTAAGGGCATTTCTTTGGATGCTCTGTTAAATCTTTTTTTTCTCCTTCCCCTGAGATGGAGTTTCGCTCTTTTTGCCCATGCTGGAGTGCTGCAATGGCATGATCCCGGCTTACTGCAACCTCCGCCTCCCGGGTTCAAGCGATTCTCCTGCCTCAGCCTCCCAGGTAGCTGGGATTACAGGCATCCGCCACCATGCCCGGCTAATTTTGTATTTTTAGTAGAGACGGGGTTTCGCCATGTTGGCCAGTCTGGTCTTAACTCCCGGCCTGAGCTTCCCAAATTGCTGGGATTATAGGCGAAAGTCACCACGCCGGCCTCTGGTAAATCCTTTTAACAGCACTAGTGTTGGGACAGATTTTACACCTGGGTAGGGAACCTTGATGTTGTAGAACTGTACACAGTAAAGGAGCAGTACGAGATGGTAATAGTTGTACAACTCTGCAAGTTTGCTGGAAATCATTGAATTATACACTTTAAAATCACTGAATGTAATTTTAAAAGTATGAAAGACCAGGGAGTACCCATAAATTTCCTCGTTCACTTTGTGAAACATTGTGTTATGACACATTACCTCATTAAAACAACTGTAGGCTTAGGGCTTTGTCGTCTTTTTAGACATCCGCTATACTTGAGGAGGTATGAAGGTATTTAGTGGTTATTAAAGACTTTCCCAGTGATGCTTCTTAAGTAACTTAGTTTTTGTTTGGCCTTATATTTAATTTTTTTAAATACAGTAGATATTTAGCTGTGTAGTGTTAGTTTTTCTGGCTTTATGAAATCATGAAAAAGCCTCTATGAAGTTATGAAAAGTGCTGGATCAGAGCCAGATATGGGTTGAAAATAATTTCTCATTAAAGTGGTTTAATAAATTTTTTTAAAGTGTTGCTTTGCCTAATCTGAATTTAGTGTCTTGCCAGTTTAGTGACTCAATAAATTGGCTGTGCTATCTTTACTCCTCACAAGGAAAAAAAACCATACATTTGAAAATTTCTAAAGTATTTTTGTTCTTTTTTAAAAACTATGAACATATCCTCTTATGCAGGAACCCCAGAAGTCTACACTTTAACCCACATTTTAAAAACTTTTAAGCAGCTTTGAATCAATAAATATTTCATTAGTCTGTAATAGTTAAATTCATTTGACATAAAATATAAATTTGTTTTTTGTGTCATAACTTGATAAATATATGAATAGGGCAGTGAAAATTTTTTTTTTTTTTTTTTTTAATGCGACGGAATCGCACTCTGTTGCCCTGGCTGGAGTACAGTGGCACAATCCTGGCTCCCGGTAACCTCTGCCTCCCAGGTTCAAGCAATTCTTCTGCCTCAGCCTCCTGAGTAGCTGGGATTACAGGCACATGCCACCACACCCAGCTAATTTTTGTATTTTTTAATTGAGATAGGCTTTCACCATATTGGCCAGGCTGGTCTTCAACTCCTGACCTCAAGTGATCCTCCTGCCTTGGCCTCCCAAAGTGCTGGAATTAAGGCACAAACCACTGTGCCTGGCCACTTTTTCTTAAGCAGTATGAGATAAATGTGTAACAGGTTTGGGGAATTTAATTATGTTTGCAAAAACTGACATTATCAAACTTTATGTATTATTTTACATGATACTATCTAATCCAAAACTACATTATAACTATTTAGGCAATAGTGGACTCTAATTTCAGATTTCAAGATTAGAAGTAAGGAATTCAATCTTAAAATTGTAAAATTTACGTGACTTGTTGAGTAATTTGATAACAGAAAATTTCACATTCCATTTCAAAATTGGGACGAATAATGGTAGTCCAACAGATTAAAGCCAAAACTTTTCCTTTGTTTGTTTTGTTTTGTGTTTTATTGTTGTTGTTGTTTTGAAAGTCTCCCTCTATTGCCCAGGGTGGAGTACAGTGGCACAATCTCCGGCTCACTGCAGGCTCCACCTCCCAGGTTCAAGTGATTCTCCTGCCTCAGACCTCCAAGTAGCTGGGACTACAGGCGCCCACCACCACACCTGGCTAATTTTTGTATTTTTAGTAGAGGTGGGGTTTCACCATTTTGGCCAGGCTGGTCTCAAACTCGACCTCAAATGATCCACCCACCTCAGCCTCCCAAAGTTCTAGGATTATAGGTGTAGCCTAAAGCCAAAAGTTTATTCATGGATCTCTGCATTTGGATGTAGAGATCCCTATTACTCTTTTTAAGCTACGGATTAAGAGTTAATCTCTTTGAGTAACATTCTTAGAATTCTCTTTTGAACCCCCAACCCCAGAGTATTATTGGGAAGTCTAACTACACAGACTGAAAAGATACATAAGATAAAAATGAAATTTGTCTTTTGTTTTGTTTTGTTTTGGAGACCGTGTTTCCTGTGTCACCTAGGGCTGGAATGCAGCAGTACAATCTTGGTTTGCAGCAACCTCCACCTTGGGGTTCAAGTGATTCTCCTGCCTCAGCCTCCCGAGTAGCTGGGACTACAGCGTGTGCCACAATGCCCTGCTAATTTTTGCATTTTTAGTAGAGATGGGGTTTCACCATATTGGTCAGGCTGGTCTTGAACTCCTAATCTGCCTGTCTCAGCCTCCCAAAGTGCTGGGATTACAGACATGAGCCACCACGCCCAGCCAAAAAACGAAATATTTTTAAACAAACAATCTTCGTAACTACCCCCAGGGCAAGACAGACATTGCCAGAAGCCTTGCACCACCTATTTTCCCATCAACTATCACCATCTTGATTAAAGCTAGATATAAATGTTGTTCTGACATTTATAGTTTTACCATGTAAGTTTACATCTCTATATAATAGAGTTTAATTTTGCCCATTTTTTGAACTTTATGTAAATAGGATTATCTTGTATATATTTTATTTTTAGCTTTTATTGTTTCATAGTATTCCATTATGAAAATAACACAAGTTTATTCCTTCTTTGTTTTGGATATTGCATTTAGATTGCTTGCAGTTTGGGGCTATTATAAACAATGATTTTTATGAACGTTTCTGTTAAAGTGCACAGATGCATGTTTATGTAGTTTTCTTGAGGTTATACACTTAGAATTTGAATTGCAAGAACATGGGGAATGTTCGTCTTTATCAGATAATGCCAAGTAGTTTTCCGAAGTGGTTTTTTTTTTTTTTTTTTTTTGAGACAGAGTTTCGCTCTTGTTACCCAGGCTGGAGTGCAATGGCGCGATCTCGGCTCACCGCAACCTCCGCCTCCCGGGTTCAGGCAATTCTCCTGCCTCAGCCTCCTTAGTAGCTGGGATTACAGGCACGCGCCACCATGCCCAGCTAATTTTTTGTAGTTTTAGTAGAGACGGGGTTTCACCATGTTGACCAGGATGGTCTCGATCTCTTGACCTCGTGATCCACCCGCCTCGGCCTCCCAAAGTGCTGGGATTACAGGCTTGAGCCACCGCGCCTGGCCCGAAGTGGTTTTTTATTAGTTTTTACTTCATTTGTTAGTATGTAAGAGTTCTTGTTTCATATCCCTTACCAACAACCAGACTTGGTACTATATATTTCAATTCTAGCCTATCCTGGCGGGTATGTAGTTGTGTT